AGATTTATCCTGCCAAAGCTGACACTGATGTGCCGCCAAGTTGGTTGGGGTGGCTTGTCTTAGCTGCCAGGGTGAGACCTGAGGTACATGTAGTGTGGGTTTTTCTTGAAACCCTAAACTGGACCAAATTCCAATATTGCCCTGGACCTTGGAGATAGATGGGCAAAACTGGAATGTTACACCTGACCCATAAACTCGATTATGGTACTGCACTAGGTATCGGATTGGGTTGTCTTTGATATGCCAATCAGTGAGATCCTTAGAGGGGGTAAAAACCTGGGTATGTTGAGACAGTCCAATAATTCACCTGAGTGGGTGATCATAGTGACAGGATCAGCCCCTTTGTCGGACAAAGTGAATGATCGGGGAATGCACTCTCTGGTGGAAACCTAAACTACCGGCGGTGGATTTCAAAAGTGTTTGAAATTTGTTTTGCAAAATATATTTATATAAAGTTATATATTATGGTTTCACAAATTGTTTGCAAAAGGTTTTAATTCCCGGGATCCATGTGAGTAGAGAGTGCAGCACTGTACCTTGCAGCCGAGGGAGAGGTCATCTCTTTTCGGGCAGTATTTGATCATTATGGGCTGAGAGGTTAAGTGTAAGACCATTGAGGGTAATACCTGATGGGCTAATCTTGCATCTGCCCACAGTCCTAGGGTTTTTATAAGGTGGCTTGACCCAAGTACCATTTAGTGTAAATGTTGAGCCCATTAAGAGCCCATGGTGATGGACTCAAGGGTTCACTGTCTCCTACAGTGAATTCTGCCAGGCCTTGTAACAGAGGCTGGGTTGAACCCATGTGGCTGATGTGTAGATCAATGTTTGGGTCCCACGCCATACAAGGATATCCAACTGGGCAACAGTTTGGAGGATAAGTGAGCCGATAGACTTAATGGGCCTAAAGCCCAATTTGAACTGGCTTAATGAGATTATTTAAAAGGGGGTGGTTCTGGGATTTGGATCAACAGATAGGATAAGAGGTTATCCCTATCCACTCAGAGAGTCCAGATCCAAATAAAGATTTGGATCAGGAAACTTCTAATTAGATTAGAAGGGATGATCTTTATTTGCAGATAAGATAAGGGATTATCCTTATCATTTAAAGAGAGTTCAGATCCAAATACAAGATTTGGATTAGGAAACTCCTAATGGGATTAGGAGAACCTCTCTTTAAGGCTATAAATAGGAGAGCAGGGCGAACCCTCAGAACACAACAGAAATCATCTAAGTGACTGCTGATTTCCAGAGAGAGACAACACAGTTTGACTGCACTGTCTCCTTCTCTCCTGCTCTTGCCGCCATACCAATTCAATCTCCACCTGTGGGAGCGATCAAGAAGAGTTCTTGATATTACCTTTTGGCAGAAGAGGTAATTTGAAGTCGTGCTCACTAGCCCTCCATCAGATTCTTGCTAAAGAATTTTGTTCTTGCTGAAGAACCATCCTGCTGATTCTGCTTCATCCTGCACCGTGTCATCTTAGGTGGATGCAGTCTTTGGATCTTTCCCTGGACGTGAACACCTTCATTGGAGGTTATTACTACTTCGTATTAGGTATATCCCTCCACTCCCTTTTGGTTTCAGATCTGGTTTGGTTTAGATTCAAGATTGATTCTTAAAAATGCAGTTTTCTAAAATAGGGAATGTGATTCCCACATGGGAGAGAGAAATTTTTGAAATTTTGCCCAACCTACCTGCAAGGTACGGCCATCCATATGATGGATCTCTCATCCCTTCATCTTCATCTCTAATGTCCCCCCCCCCCAATGCCTGAGGGGCCTGAATTTACCCACACGACTTCCGTTGTCAAAGTTTAGCTTCTTCAAGCCATCTATTGGAGGAGACCATGCCTCAAAAAACTGTTGTCTTGTAGATGAAGAGGCAGCAATAAGTCCCCAAACCCTAAAAAAGTCTTCGACCTTAAAAACTGAAAATAACTTCAAGCTTTTTGCCCAATGTGCCACCCTCAAAAAAAAATAAAGTGGTTAACTAGGAACATGAGGTTTGAGGTAAAATGGGTAAGTAGGTCATCTAATACTATGGTTGATTCTCTAGCTAAACAGGGGTTATCCAGGGAGGTCCTTTTTTGTGCTACATTGTAAGTTGTTATAATATAGTGAAAGTTGTACTTAACTAACCAAGAGAGGTTGCATCTCGTGCCTCTCCTTGGGACATTGTACTATTCTCCTCTACTGATTAATAAATCTCATTCATTTATCAAAAAAAAAAAAAAATGTTCCACCCTCAATGTTATTGTTTCGACCATGTAAGGTTTAAAATCTTGGAATATTATTACAAATTTTTTCAATATTTCATTACAATTTTTATAATTTTTAAATATATTTTCCTAAAAGAACCATGATGAATTAGTGATATTCCAGATTACTCTAATGGACTATATATTTAAGGTTTAAAATTTTAGAATTTTTTTATCAATATTAAAATTTTAGAATATTATTAAAAACTTTTTGATATTTTCCTAACATCATTATAATTTTAAAAAAAATATTTTCCTAGAAACCCATGGAAAATTGGTGATTGGATATTATTCAATTATTACACCACTAGAATTCAATTAAAAAAAGTAAAATGCATACAACTACAAAAGAGTATTTTCAAATTAATCAAACATATAGTAACAAAAAAGAAAAAAGTCAAAATGGCAATTAATTGACATATTTAATGAAGGGAAGATAGCTAAAAGACTAAAAGGGAAACAAAGTGGAAGATATTTATTAAAAGTCTATCAAATTCTCCTCTTTGACTTATATAGTTCTTTGCTATGGTCATTTGAGCATTAAATGTGCAATCATATTCATTCTAATAATTCCTCAAAGGTTTATTAACAAATTCCATGTTTCTAGAATTCCTTTCAAATTTTTTAGATTTTCCAAATATCTTAGTGAAATATTTCTGAAATTTCTCCATCTCTACAAGGTGAAATGTCCATGGATATCAAAATTGCAAACCATGGGAGGAAGGACACAATTCTGGTTTCTAAACTGTCTCAGTGTAGATGGGATGACTATAAACATTGGACCAAAAACAGATCATGTCATCAATAGATAAGTCTGTAAAATCAACTTTTGTTCACAACCAATAAACAGCCATGGGAGGAAAGACACAATTCTCTCCTGTCTCTCTTTCTCTTCTTCTAACAGGTTCCGCATCAGAAAGGGGGTAGAGTGACCTTGATTAGGGCGACACTTGCTAGTCTTCCGGTTTATTTTCTTTTTGTATTCAAGATACTCTCAAGGGATGCCAAGAAGCTAGAAAAGGTGATGAGGGATTTCTTGTGAGAGCCAGGGAAAGAAAAGATGGATCAATTGATTAGGTGGGAGATAGTCAGTAGGAGTAAGGAAGAAGGGGGATTAGGATTGGGAAATTTAGTTCTTAAGAATGAAGCTTTACTAGGGAAGTGGCTTTGGAGATGGCCGTTAGAGGGATAGGTTGTAGCACAAGGTGGTGAATAGTATTCATGGCTGTTTGCAGGACGGTTGGGATGCCAGGGTATCTCGACAGGTGACTCTTGCAACACCCTAGTAGGCCATTCACGGAATTCTACCCCATTTTCTCAATCTGGTCAGGTATGATGTTAATTCTGGACACAATGTTCTTTTTTGGGAAGACATTTGGGTGGGAAACCAACCTCTTAAAGACCTTTTTCCCTCTCTTTACTCTCTTCCCCTTTATAAGGAAGAGCCGGTTTCCAGTTTTATTTCCTACTCAGATTCTTCTGTGGCCCTCAACTGGGATTTTGGTTTCCGTAGAGGGTTATGTGATGATGAAAGTGCTTGTGTTTCAGATTTATTGTCTTCACTTGAGTCTATTTGGACCCCCTAACCCGAAAGGCTTGTAAATCTCAAAATTAGGACTGTCACCACTTACTGATCTCTTGCTCCTTTGCTACAGCTTTATGAAATTGGATTCTTACGTTGTTTGAGTGTAGGTGGAACCTGCCATCTAATACTAGTTTGTTGTTTAGTCCGTCTATTTTTGAATGGCACACAAAGAGAGGGAGAATTATGTGGAAGTGCATAAGAGCAGCTTTGTTGTGAACAGTTTGGGAAGAAAGGAACACCAGAATCTTTTGTGAAAAAGAAAGGAGCTTCTTGGAAGTTAAAGAATGTATTTTGACAAGGGCAATTCAATGGCTGAAAACTCTAAAGATCTTCGATGCATACTCTATTGATGACCTGTGGAGAAGCTGGTTAGCAGTGGCTAATACTTCTACCAGGAAGGAAAGACATGGGGTTGAATGGATGCCACCAAGGGAGGAGTTTATCAAGCTGAACTTTGATGGAAGTAGCCGAGGAAATCCAGGACCTTCAGGCATAGGAGTGCTGAGAAACAAAGATCGTGATATCTTTGTACTCAGGTCCAGCGGGTGTGGGAGACTCTTTAAGGGCCAAATTACTGGCTGATGTACAAGGAATCCAGCTTGCAAATCAGCTAGGCATAGAGCATCTAATTATTTGGGGTTTTAGAGATTTTCTCAAAAAGGTTAAATGGTTAACAAGGAATATGACAATCAGAGTTCAGTGGGTAGGCAGATCAGCAAACTCATTGGCTGATTCACTTGCAAAACAAGGGGTTTCCCGGGATACTTTATTTTGGGCTTCAGTGTAATTT